CCACTGCATTGTATAAGAAGTGTATATACCTACCTAACCCCATGTTATGGATTCCAGTTGCCTAACAGATTGCAGTGTTCATCACTGCAAAAGCGAAGTCCAAATCTTTTCTGTGGATTTGGGCCTAACTTCTTTCTACCTCATTTTCCTCATTAGTAAAATGGGGATGACAATACTCACTTTTTTAAATATGTTTTGTGACTTTGGGATTTAAAAAGCTGCATAAATATAGCTTATTATTCATTCATTGTTTGTAAAGTGCTTTGAGGTCCCGCAGCATATACAGACACGCAAAATATGTTAAGACTCATCATTCACTCACTCCTGATTTTCTGAAACAAAGTATTTTCAGTCTGCAGCTTTGTGCTGCTGCTTGTGTTCCTTCAGAAATTTGCCTTCCAAATTGCCTTTCCTTGATTTTTGTCTCCCATTTCCTTGCTTATTTGCATCACACCTGCAGTGTAACACTGTCCTTTGGGGTGTGAGAGTTTGTTTTTCTTTTTCTTTTTTGAGCACGCCATAATATGGTATCACAGAGAAGCTCATAAGAAAGCCTCTGCTAATTTAAACAAACTGATCTATTTTTTTCAGACTTGTCCTGGCTTTTCTTAAGCTGATCTACACCTGGCACCACCGTTCTTTACAGAGCATGGTATATGCACCAGGTGAGTGCTTTGATGACTGCTGAGTCTGATGTGCACAGGCAGGGCACACCCACACACTAGCAGTGCTCTGAATCCAAGCAGCTGATTCTTTCCTCCTCTGAGTTTCATCACAAAACTTGATCCACTCTGCCTCGCAGTGCCTCACTCCATCTGCAAGCTGACTCCGCCAACCAGAGCGGCATTCTGCACTCCTTTGCCCATCATCCACAGAGATGCCAAAGGATGCTAGTAAGTCATCTTTGCAAGCATCCCGAAATCTGCACAGCGGCCTGCCTCTCTTTCTAGACCCGTCGCGAGCTTCAGAACACAGCACATTCTCTGGGATCCAGCGATGGGGCATTCACTTGACATGACCAAGCCACCTGAGTCTTT